AACGGTTTTTACAGAAGTAGCTGTTGTAATGGTTGTAACAGAAGTAGCTGTTGTTGTAGTGGTGGTGATCTGGTAGCAGCATTTGTGGAGCCGCTGTAATTGTTGTAACAGAAGTAGCTGTTGTTTTAGTGGTGGTGATCTGGTAGTAGCATTTGTGTAGCTGCTGAAATGGTTGTAACAGAAGTAGCTGTTGTGGTAGTGGTGGTGATCTGGTAGCAGCATTAATGTAGCTGTTGTAATGGTTGTAACAGAAGTAGCTGTTGTGGTAGTGGTGGCGATCTGGTAGTTGCATTTGTGTAGCTGCTGAAATGGTTGTAACAGAAGTAGCTGTTGTTGTAGTGGTGCGATCTGGTAGTTGCATTTCTGTAGCTGCCGAAATGGTTGTAACAGAAGTAGCTGTTCTTGTGGTGGTGGTGATCTAGTAGTAGCATTTGTGTAGCTGCTGAAATGGTTGTAACAGAAGTAGCTGTTGTTGTGGTGGTGGTGATCTGGTAGCAGCATTAATGTAGTAAAAGTAGTAGTAGTAGTAGTAGTAGTAAGTGAGTGAGTTGGGTTTAACGCCGCTTTTAACAGTTTTCCAGTTATATCACGGCGTGTCAGCTTAATGTGGGAGGAAAGCTCGAAGTGATGCAGGTCTCAGATGTTTACCACTTCGGTGAAACCCACGAGCACGGGTATGGTGCTGACAAACCTAGAAACATAATCGGAGCGAACCGGGATTCGAACCCACAACCATAGGTTTCTGGCGTGCCCAGGGGACGCAACTCTGCACAGCGAATCGCGGCGCCTTAGACGACTGGGCTACCCGTTCCCCCCAATAGTAGTAGTAATAGTAGTAGTAGTAGTTATAATTAAGGAGGAGTTATTGAACGTCTTGTGGAAGGTTAGACGTATACGTACTTAGGGATGCGACCCGTGAAGACCCGGGGTAGATTAGGTCTTTAGCAACCCCTGCTTGCCGCAAGAGGCAACTTACGAGATCGGGTGGTCAGGTACCCTGACTAGATTGATGCATCCCATCGTATCCAAATTGCATGGATCGATGCCCATGATGTCAATCATTGGATTGTCTGTTCCAGGTTCGATTATTTACAGACCGCCGTCACATAGCTGAAATGTTGCTGAGTGCGGCGTTAAACAACATACAAATCAACAAACAAACAAAGTTAGGGATGCAGGTTAGAGATAAACTTAGGGTAGAATGCAAATGTTGACTTAACAAAATCCGGAATTCAGAGGTGAACGCTTGCAATAATGTTATAGCCACAAATACTGCTGTACCAGTCCTTTCATATTCGTTTGGTGTTGTTGATTGGACGAAACAAGAAATTCATATTGACACCCTGACACGAAGAATCAATGCTCTTCCCTCAATCGCTTAATTTACCAATCATAATAGGAGGGCGTGGTTTGATTAACGTTTGGGACTCTTCATAATAGAATTGTTTTGTGCACTTTTGCACCCATTTATTTATCTGATGATCCTCTTGTGAAGCATTTCAAGATGAAAAAAAGCATTCCAAAGTTTTCTTAAACGACCCAAGTATGTGGGACATAATTTCAATGTCGGAGTTGATTTGGTTGATGGTTGTGTACTGCTGGACGGTACATAAATGAGTGTCAACCATGCGAAGCGCCATATCAAATCGGTCCAGTCTCAGTTTTTCAAGGAGAGGCTATCTGAACGACCACTGCATCGAGTTTATGTGCAGTGAGTTGTGAAGATCAGCAACCCTACAGAGTCCTTCGCTTTGATGAAGTCGACAGGCCTGAAAGGTGAAACAGAAAGCTTTCTGTTTCTACTCAAGACCAGTCACTTCGCTCGAAACCGTCAATGTTGGATTTTGCATCAAAATAAAAATATGAAATGTAGATTATGTAATGAGTTTAATGTGACTGTCCAAAAAAGTGTCAATGGATGCCCAGCTTTGGCAAAGACACAGTATCTTAAACGACATGATGGTGTAGCTCGATCATTTTATTACCGTTTTTGCCACGCTTGTGGTTTTGACACAGAGGTCCATCAACGGTACGACCCGGCATATGAAGAGGGCGTCATCGAAAATGATAAAAACAAAAATTCTTTGGAATAGGCCGGTATACAACCTCAGGCCTTTCCAAGCCAACCAACCTTATCTTGTCCGTCTTGATAACTACAATGAACTCATTTATATTATTGAATTCTCTGTCCCTTTTGACACTATTGTGATTGACAAAAGTCAAGAAAACATGGCAAATATGCGGACCTCGCTTTCGAAATGTCACGCTTGCATCCCATGTACCAAGTTGTCCAACTCCCCATTGTTCTCAGTGCCTTAGGTTTGGTACCTCCCAATCTGTTGACAGACATTGTGAGAGTACCCGGGTTTGCTATCAGGAATACAGCCCTTCTGACAATCTTGGTAATGCAGAAGGCTGCAGTGTTGGAGAGTTTCACATTCTCCGAAATGTTCTGGTTGGGTTTGACAAGGCAGCGCTTCCTGGGAGAAGTCCCATTCGCTGTCTGGGCTGCGTGTAGAGGACACGTCCGACGCACGGAGTTCAAGTGGCTATGTAGAGTAGGTAATAGAACTGACACAGGTGCTATATGATTATAGGTAATACCGGTTAGGAACCCTGAACCTGATTTTTACGGATGTTGTTCCAGAATCGATGTTTGGTGAACTAAATAAACTTTGTAAAGAAGATTCCCTTTCCCTCAAATTGTTGTCAGTGATGCAAATTAAAGAACAAATAGAATGAAATAAAAATATAATTTGCGGAGAATGACATGGGTTACTTCCCTTTCCGATTTGCATGCTTTGAAGTTCTGATTCAGAACTGAAGTATATGTTACACAGAATCGGTCGGTAAGATAAGCACTCATCTAAAATATTTGTGTTTATGGCACATTTGGCACGTCTCGTGACCTGCTAAGTTGACATTTTCACTGGTGGCCGCGACACTCATGAAAATACCAACTTTGCAGGTCATTGGATCACTCATCTGATATATTTCTATATCTACCTGCACTGTCACGTGGGTCGCCATGCCCTCATATCACCCACAAGAGAAAGAACGAGTGAGTGAGTGAGTGAGTAACGAATGGTATTCATTTCTTAATACTTTTTCTATCTTATTACATTCTTAAATCACTGGCAGTACTTATGAAATAATGAGGGGCGGTCGGGTAGCCAAGTGGTTAAAGCGTTCGCTCGTCACGCCGAAGACTCGGGTTCGATTCCCGACATGGATACAATGTGTGAAGCCCATTTCTGGTGTCCCCCGCCGTGATATTGCTGGAATATTGCTAAAAGCGGCGTAAAACCATACACACTCACTATCATATAGTAAAAACGTGATTCGGATGCAATTTCACCATGATGCCCTCTAATGCTGGTTGATTCGATGTGACGTCAACAGCCAGAAAACAATTCGAAAGTTTCCAGTTTTTTTCACCCATATCTGATTGGCCATTTGAAGGTAAACCGCACTAAGCAGAGGGTTTATTTAGATGAAACAAATACTTGCGTTGAAAACTTCATTTCCTGTTTTAAAGTCAAGTGTGTAATATGAGATACAGTGACAGGTTTTCACGAGAATGGACTTCTTCAACTGATGTAGCTAACAACAACTTCAATAGAGAGTAGGTATTTCTAGTCTCCAGCACGGTGGTTTATGGGGGTGTAGAATACCAGACACAAGGCAATAAAGCTTGGTTGACTCTCAGCCCTATCTCATGCAAGCTAACTTGAAAAAATATATTGGAAAAAAGGAAAGCGATTTATAACTTAATTTGAAATGCATCCCTCGTCAACCGCTTTTCTGAGTGGCATGAAACTATTCTAGAAAGGATAAAACAATAAATTGAATGTCAAGAGAGCCGGTGTTACAATTAAACTGTCTTATTTCAGCTGCTTTATTTGGGAGTATGTATTTAGACATGGCATGATATATATTTATTCTTCTTATTCTTATTGAGCACACATAACAATGACGACACCATACGCACATAAGGGAGTGAGGGAGAACAGTATTCCAGTTATATCGCGGCGTGTCAGCTTAATGTGAGAGGAACGCCCAAAGTGATGCAGGTCTCAGACGTTTACCAATTCGGTGAAACCCACGAGCACGGGTATGGTGCTGACAAACCTAGAAATACAATCGGGAGATACACACACACACAAAGACAGACAGACAGACACATACTTTTCTCGAGATCTGTCAAAAGGATACACACACACATACACACACAAAGACAAAACGACAGATATATCGTCACATATACAATTTCACGCGCGCACACATACACACAAGCACAAACACCCTGTATCACTAGTCAGATACATGCACACACAAAGAAAGACACAATACTACACGCGAACACACACACAAAAAGGCAGATAAACAAACACACACAATCACACAGACACACACAAAGACAGAGAGACAGATAAACACAAACACACAAACATTAAGGCGTATACAGACACAAAATCAGACACACACAAAAGGAGATACACAGACACACACAATCACACACACAAGAAGAGATAGAGAGAGAGACACACACACACCATCACATACATTCACACAAAAGAAGGAAAGACGAGAAGAAAACAGAAAAACAACTTCCGTACGACATACTGTGTTGTTACACCTCTATTAAGAATCTTAAAATTCGATTGATTAATCCGTATCATGCGACGAAAAAAGACTTTTCTCGTCACATATTCAGTATGGACATGTCATGTGATGAATATTGACTCGTCTGCCAGAAAACAAGATAGCGTCTGGTACGAACATGTCACGGTTCGCTGCTAAGTCACTGTAATCAAACAGAACATGGTTTACTGACTTCAAAACTTTAAAGTGAATTTGGTGACGAGGTTACCGGGTCCTTGTGTTCGCATATTGACCTCGTCAAGAGTAGTTATTTGTTTTACAGTAAGATGTCAACGAGAGTTATGTCCCCTTTCTTTCTATGATTTTAATGTGAGTTATGTCCCCTTTCTTTCCAGAGTCTTATCAGCTCCATCTATCTGAGCCTAGGCTGTAACATTGCCAGCATCCTCTTCCTCGTGCCCGCCTTCAGCATCTTCCTCATGTACAGGTAAGAGCGTCACAATATACACACAAGAGCATTTTATAATAACTCTGTATTTGTTGATCCGAAAATGTGTTTATTTTGACAATTTGACTGGAAACGGTACAGTCCAGATCAACTGTGTCTCACTGCAGCCATTCTACGTCAGGAACACTTACAACATCTTCTTTTCATAACCACCTCAAAATCAAACTTTGTGTCGATCAGTTTATATACACAAAGAAAAAAGTTAAGCACATCCCTGTTTCTGAACCATGACAAATGGTAATAATCAATGCATGGGATGTCTGACCACAGGAGCTGGGCGATATCAATGTCATCGGATAGAACAAACATTTGACAACAAATAAAGAAGATATTGGTGAGTTGTGATTGAAATTTACTGACAAAAACATCATGGTAACACAGGTACTATTTTTTACCTTAGACAATGCCTAAAAACGGTATGGAGCTGCAGGATTAAGTAAACGAGTTACGTTTGATGTTTCATGTGAAAATGTTCCTTAAAGTCTCTACTTAGCATGATACGTGAAACAGATCAGTTGCGGGTATAACCGCCACGTGCCCGGATTCCACGCATTCCACTCTACGTCTCATGCCTCGAGTCAGACGTTGGATCTGTTGATGGGTCAACAGCAACCACTCCTGATGCAATGCTGCTTCCTATTGGCGTAAATCTTGTACAGGAGGATCTCGTGCCTGTATGCGCCGCCCCAGAATATCCCAAACATGTTCAAGGGGGTTCAAATCTGGGTTCATTGCTGGCCAGAGTAGAGTCGTTATTCCATTAACCCTCATGTAATCCACGACTGAATGCGAACGATGAGGCCTGGCATTGTCATCCATGTACTGAGGTAGCAAGAGGGTGCTTGTCAAAATGAGGAAAGACGACTGGCCTCAAAACGTCCCGGATGTACTGAGCCCCTGTTAAGTTGCCCCTTATGCTGACCAAATCCAACCTGCAATCATGAGAGATACACCCCCAAACCATTACCGAGCCCCCGCCGTATGCAACAGTCGGTTTAATGTTCCTGGGGGTGTAGGCCGTGTTCCGGTGCCTCCAAACCCTCGTTCTTCCATCAGTGACGTGGAACAGAAAGCGAATTTCCTCTGACCAATGGATCCGCCTCCAAGTTCTCAGATTCCAGTTCTGTCGCGCAATACACCATGCTAAACGAGCAGCTTTGTGGTGATATCTCAACAAGGGACGCTTTATGACTCGTCTAGCCCTCAGTCATGCTGCTTTCAGCCGGTTCCTGGCGGTTCTGGTGCTGAAACGACGATTGGGCAACCACAGCTTTTTCAGTCGAGTATTTGTTAAAAAGGGTTCTCGGCGTATGAGACGAAGAAGGTCGCTGTCCTCGCGATGTGTCGTCACAGGAGGTATTCCGGATCTGGGACGGTCCTGAACATCATCGGTCTGGATAATTATTATGTTTCTCGACTAAATGGCTTACGACAGTGTGGTGATACCCCAAATTCCGACCAATGGCATTACAAGACATTCCTGCGTTATGCATGCCGATTACTTGCCATCTTGTGGCGTTTGATAATCGCCTTCGTGCCATGGTCACACAATGTCATGGAATAACTGTTTAAAACCGAACTTGAGAAAGAAATTTTAACGTTTGGATATACTGCTTTTAGAGATACTCGAGGGTAGCATGCTGCACGGGCATACCAAGCATGGCACGTGAGCTTTTGTCACACATGACTGATTACATCATCTCGAGAAAACATAATTCTTCCCGTAATTATATCTTTCCTGACTGTTACAGATATTGGGACCAAACAATAATAAACTTAACTTTTTTCTTTGTGTATTTCACTTGTGCACATTCGTGAATCGGTGAGTCGGGTCTGACACCGCTTTGATCACGTGAACAGTCTTGCAGTTGTATCATAATGTGTCAGTTTGTTATGGGAAAGCCCGAAGTGATGCAGGTTTCACACGTGTACCACTTCGGTGAAACCCACGAGCACGGGTATGGTGCTGACAAACCAAGAAACATTATTTGGGCGACCCTTGATTTGAACCCACAATCGTAGGTGTACTCTGCACTGCGAATGGTGGCGCATGTTTATGATGGACTTCCCTATTTTGGCTTGTACCATGTGTTCCCGTGCTTTTTCAGGTGAACAATTGCCTTGTTCTTGCGTGTGTTCGTGACGACTGATCCCTGTGTGGCAGGATACGCGCACCTTTTTACGAATTCTTGGTATCATAATTATCTAACAGTGATCCATAAACTCATCCTCATCCATGCTCATTATATAGTTCGGATTAGAATAATGAATTCTGCTTTTGGAGAGATTTAGATTTTATGAAGAGTAGGCTACCCGTGCCTCTTATGCACATAAGCTAACTTTGGACAAGTTGACCGAGCCACAGGTCTGAGTGAATATACATTGCACTGAAGGAACGTACGTACACATCAATCTGGGACATCACAGCTGTGTTGAACGCCGTGAGGGTAGGATGTCACGCTATCAACCATGCTGCCGAGCATAACTACCCAATCCATTGAGTCACCTTCTATGACCAGCCACAGGTTCGTGAATAGGGGGCCTTTCCAGGAATCCCCGCGGGACATATTTAGTTACAAGCCGAAAGGCTTATTCTTAAAGGAAACCCAAAATTAACTCGGCCGACGAAGTTTTAATCCAACCCTTGGTGAAAACCGACCAAATTGTGAAAGGTGATGGCAGACCAAGGATCATTATCGGGGCACATCTGGGATTCGAACACTTCATCCGCGAAGCAATCCACGATTTACAGGCGCATTTGCGGTTGCGGTTTTGCTCACTGACACGCACACCTGTTTCCATCGCAGGAGCTTGATCTGCAAACCAGGCTACAGACAGTGACACCGTAAAGAAAAACTACTTTGAAAAATATTCTATACTGTTTTTGCTCCAAGCCGAAACGACTAACTTACAGCATGAACGATTATTTCCCTTGCCGAGGGGCTGGCGCAAATGTCAATGAGGAGCTTCATTGGATTGTTCTCTGTTATGTCGAAAATAAGTAACAGTGAAAACCCAGCTGATAATTAAACCTAGTTCGAGACTATACCTTACCTTGATCGCACTCGTTCCTTTGCGTTAAAGTCAAAAGGCATTAAGTAGAATATTATATTTCGATATTTACGAATATAAAAAAAACCAAAACAAATGGAAAACAAATCAACGATAATTTAAAATATTTTCACATTGTTTCATTGTTTGATAAATAATTAAGTTTCAAGTATAATATTGGGCAGATATGATTCCTATTTGTACTATTGAGGAATGTGCTATATGCGGTAAGGCACTCTTTTGGTTTTTATGTCATATCGCAGGCACGGGTTCGATTCTCCGCCTGGGAACAACATGCGAAGCCTGTTTCCTGTGTCCTCCGCCATGATAATCACATAAAAATGACGAAAACGATACCTAATCACTGAAAGTAATTTAACAAAAAAAACTTTCATAATTTCAAAATGACTTAATTAGAGAAGGTGGCACTGGTGGTCCAGTATTTCAACTCGCTGTACAAAGTTGCCTCCCTTAGCCGTCCCAGGATTTGAATGTCGCGAGTTCGTATCCAACATCTCTCCCGATTATGATACTTCGTCTGTCTGCATCGAACCTGTCCTCACAGGTTTCATTAACACAGCCCCCTTCTCCTTCGCCCTCCCATGAACTGCTTGCCTTTGATATGACTGACAGGGTGTTCGAAGTGGCATAAAGCGATGTACATAAATTGTGTCTGCAGATTTTGCAATACAGTTTTGACCCGTGAAGATCCGGGGTAGAATAGGTCTTCAGCAACCCATGCTTGCCGTAAAAGGCGTCTATGCTTGTCGTAAGAGGCGACTAACGGGATCGGGTGGTCAGGCTCGCTGACTTGGATGAAGCATGTCATCGTATCCCAATTGCATGGATCGAATGATGTCAGTCACTGGATTGTCTGGTCCCGACTCGATTATTTTACAGACCGCCGTGATATAGGTTGAATATTGCTGACTGCGGCATTAAACAACAAACAATACAATACAATGCAATACAGTTGTGTTTTCTCCTGCAGGTCACTCCGACGCCAGCACAGGATACGTCTTCATATGAATTTCTTCATGTCTTTCGTCACCAGTGATGTCGTGACGATATTGTGGGATATGCTTGTCACGTACGACCGCCTCACCAACAAACACATTCCCCAAACACTCCTCTATCGGAATGGGGTAAGAAAATAATTTCTTTTAATATTTTTGTATTGCTTTTATTCGAATTTGTTTTTAGTTGTGAGCTTTGACAAATATATATGATGACACAATTAGTTTATAAACGTGTTATCTAAAATAAGGTGAGGTGAGGTGAAAAGGGGTTTAACGTCGCGTCCAAGATTATTGCACTTATATAGCGACGTGCATGTACGTGTGTGTGTTTGTGTGGCTGTACAAGTCCAGACTGATGCCGATTTATAGTGCTAGCTCACTGAGATACCATGCCGTAGTTTTTATCATGAATACCCCACTCAGACACAGTATACTGACTCCGAGCCGACCAGTCCTTGTTTAAGCCCCTTAATGCCCCTTAACAACAAGTACCATCTTTTAACGTCTTTTGGTATGAGGCGGTCGGGGATCGAACCCCGGACCTTCCGCTCTCTGGGCGGACGCTCTACCACTAGACCACGGAGGCGGTCTATCTAAAATAAACTAACATGACCTGGACATAACAATATGAATTAATAACATGAGATGTGACCTCGACTCTCACATTCACGCATCATGGTTCCTTAGGGACCGACCGTGTAATTTGTTACTGCTTCTAGACACACAGTGTACACTTGTTTTCTTAACGTTTTTTTTTGTTCAGGGGCAACGCGCATGCGTGTAAAAACTGAAACCAAATTCTTCCAGTAATTTCTGAAAAACGTATTTTTAACACAGCCGTCCGACCCCTTCAGAATATCAAAGAGACGGCTACTTATGGGCCATTGAGTAGTTTAGTGACCAAATTAAGCGTTCCAATCATACCTGGATTCGATTTTTATCCGCGTACGGTCGGTGAGTTCTTTCTTGGTGTCCAGGAAGTATTGGTAAACCATGGGTAATATCTTACTACCTCTTACATAGTTTTGTGAGGCATGTTTTAATGGTGTTGTGTGGCAGTAGAGATTGCGGGAAGTTTATGTGTCGTGATTTTCAGTGGCAGCAACTGATTGAAGCGCTGGTAAAATATCGAGAGCTGCGTGGCCAATATTTAGCCATCAGCAGGGAGTAAATTTGAGTTATCCGCCTTTGTGTAAACTTGAAGACGACAGGCTTGGTCGTTTTATAAGCGCCTCAATCATTTGCTGGCACTCACAATCACAGGTTATTTATTACAACAATCTCTACTGCAACAGAGATAGTGCAATGTTGAAAGCTTATAAAATGCACTTCTTTGTGTTTTTTGTTCGTTGTTAGGCTGGCTGCAAGGTCCTCTCCTTCTGTCGAATCTACTTCAAGAGCACGAACTATGTGTGGATGTTTTGTGAAGGCTTCTATCTGCACAGGCTCATCAGCAACGCCTTCACGCCGCCCAAAAATCTCATGCCTCTTTACGTCACAGGATGGGGTAAGATTGATTGAAACCCAATACCATTGTCCATATTAACACATTTGTGGATAGGGGACACGGGTGGCCCAGAAGTCTTAGGCGTCGCGATTCGCTTTGCAGATTTCCGTCCCTTGGGCACACCAGAAACCTATGATTGTGTGTTCGAATCCCGGTTCTTCCCGATTATGTTTCTAGGTTTGTCAGCACCATACCCGTGCTCGTGGGTTTCAGCGAAGTGGTAAATGACTGAGACCTGCATCACTTCGGGCTTTCCTCCCACATTAAGCTGACACGCCGCGATATAACTGTAATACTGTTAAAAGCGGCGTAAACCCAACTGACTCACTCACTCACTTACTACTACTACTACTACTACTACTACCATTCCTACTACTACTACAGCAAGAGCTAACGCTTTTTTCGCGTCATTAAGTATTAAAACTAAACTCACTCCTTTGTGGATAAACGAAGGAGCAGCTATTTGATTAAGGGTAATATGTTTTTTAGCGAGGTGAGGTAAAATGGGGCATAGGTCGCCCCGAATATAATTACTGCTGTACTGCGAGGTGAATGCGCGTGTGCGGCTGTTTGCACATGTACTTGTCCGGACTTCATGGTGAGGTAGTGTTCGGTGTAATGGTGTTTCACTGTATATTGAAACATATATCGCTGTCAACAAAGTTATGCATGTGACCAAAATTGGGATATGTTTATTAATCTCACTGCGATAAATAAAAAATAATCATAAACCACTTGCATAATAATAAACAGTCTTCTCTTAAAGCAGAATCCATTGTACGTTTCCGATTATATCATGAGAAAGTGTTTATGAATCACTAAAGTGATGATACCAGGTGTTCGCGAAATCAGTGCGATATAAAAAACATACGTGAGAAATACTATTCAACACAATGCAATTCATGACAGTGAATGAACTGAACTAGATGTCTAATTGAACATTATTATTGTTAAATAATCGTGTTTAAATTGAGACATTTTAGTCATCAAACTTAATAATATAGAAGTTACATTTCACAAAATGTAAAAATCATATCCGTGTCATTTCTCAGAGACAAGGTAGTTAACTGACTATACAAGTCCAGTTTCCACCCTTAAAACCAGGCTAGGATGTCGAGGCTCGATCGTAGCACCACCAGTAGCTATTACGAGGTATGTCCCTTCTATGACCCTCCTCAGATTTCTCTCTTTTCACTCGCAAAATGGCGGCGTCCAGTCAAGACGATCTGTCGATAATCGAAATCTATTGTAATAAAACGGGTCTTACCTCGCTTTGTAATCAAATCACTTGAGCCACTTGTTTAAAAACATGAAAAGATTGTGAAAATATCTGTCGGCGCCCATTTGACGGTGTACATGTTTTGCAAAACCTGCAAACGACTCCGAAATCAGCACGGCAGTCGCCATGTTATTTACGAACCGGATGTCGATTTCGTTACGCCAATTTTGATTGGGCTATGCATAGACTCGTTAGTCCAGCCAAAATGTAACGAGAAATTCCAGCTAGTGGTGGAAACTGGACTTTGATAGTGAGTTAACTCCCATGCCTCGGGAAGATGCAAGCTCCTTCCCAGCGCGTGACACCTTCGTTACCCTCTCGGTAACATCGCTGCCACCAGTGTGGGCGCGGCCATTACAAGAACCTTGAAATTTGCCCTCTAACCCCATGTGTAGTAACGTTTATACTTTTGTTTATGTCTTTGAGAATGCCATCATATTTCATTTTGAAAAGGTTTACGACTGACCATGTTTTCCAGATGAATTTACTTTGTTGTTTTAATAAACAGATTGGTTCGAGATTGCAGACTAACGGAAAATCAACCAACTTCTCCCTTACATTCTTCCTATTTCAATTAAAGATGATTGTTTTAATGAAATAGAAATTTAAAAGGGCAAACAAAGAAAGTAATATAGCAGCGGTAAGTGTATTCGGTGTCACGACAGTCGTCACTTGTTTGTAAACATAACGGTCATTCGGTTGCGAGTTCAACTCCAAGCATGGTTGGGGCCACCTATCACAGTGGGGAGTTTTGACTGGTGGCAGCGATAGTATAGAGAGCTCCGCGAACAGACTATCGCTGTGAGGAGCTTGGGGAATATGATACCCCGTACACAATTACGACTTACAATGTGTACTAATTTGAAAGGTGCACGGTAAGCTTATTTATACACCTAAAACAAAGAATGGCCACCTTTAGTGAATAAGAGTGGGTGTGTGTGTGTTGGGTTTAACGCCACTTTGAACAGCATTACAGTTTTATCCCAAGTGTCAACTTAATGTGGGAGGAAAGCCGAAGTGATGAAGGTCTTAGATGTTTCCTTTGGTGAAATCCCCGAGCACGGGTATGGTGCTGACAAACCCAGAAAATATAATTGGGGCAAACCGGGATCCGAACCGATCATCTAGCTTGCTTCAGGAACGCAACTCTGCACAGCGAATTGCCTGCGCCTTAGACGACAGGCCCACCCGTGCCTCTTGAGTGAAACAGGGCACATGTTACATGTACACATTCGAGAAGTGAGTGAGTGAGTTGGGTTTAACGCCGATTTTAACAATATTACAGTTATATCACGGCGTGTCAGCTTAATGTGGGAGGAAAGCCCGAAGTGATGCAGGTCTCAGACGTTTACCACTTCGGTGAAACCCACGAGCACGGGTATGGTGCTGACAAACCTAGAAACATAATCGGGGCGAACCAGGATTCGAACCCACAATCCTAGGTTTCTGGCATGTTCAGGGGACGCAACTTAGACGACTGTGCCCCCCCCCCCCCCCCCCCCCCGACGAAAGTCACTTATTTTTCTCTCCAAGACTGCTGCAAAGACAAATTTGACATGTTTGTATATTAGGTGCCAACACTATAACCCCTATTCCTACACTCCATATAGTATTACCTTGAACCGTACATGACATGTTTTTAATAAATAGCACTTGGCAGCAAAAACAGGAAGTATGTTTTCACTATGCAACGACTACACAATTATGCCACGACGTCGATAATGCAAAGCATCACATCATGTGTTGCGACCGGATCTCTGCCCTCGCTTATCAAATATGACTGTAATAACCCGACGTGAAGACCTACCGAGGTTAGTGAGAAAGAAGACCTGACAGTGAAAGTGTGTCTTACCGGAAGTAGTTTAATATCTCGCGAGCGCTGCCCCGTGTGCGCTGCCCCGTCGGTCATCATCCTGGTAACCTTTGTGTATTCAAGAGGCGCTCAAAATATACGAGTGGCGGAAAGAATCGACTTTAGTGATTGTAAATATTTTCCACTCGTGTACACAATCTGAGTCTAGATGATTACACGGACGGGTTACATGTTTTGGACGGCGCGGCCTTGCTTTCATAACATCATGAATACTAAAAACATCATGTGATTTTCAGGGGTATTGCTATGCAGGTATAAGGTTTTGCTGTACAATCTGCCTGCACTGCTTTTTCTAATAATACTACATAACATATGTTTTACCATACGGTTTTTTTGTGTACGAGTTCTTTAATTGTGCAGTCTCATGATATACATTGTCTACAACATAGATACTCTACTTTGAAAATTTGCAACGTGTTTGTGATTTGTTTTTTTATTTGCCCCTACCTTGGGTTGGTTGGTTGGTTGGTTGGCACTCAGCAATATTCCAGCTATATGACGGCGGTCTGTAGATAATCGAGTCTGGACCAGACCATCCAGTGATTAATATCATGAGCATCGATCCACGCAATTGGGATCGATGACATGCATCAACCAAGTCAGCGAGCCTGACCACCCGATCCCGTTAGTCGCCTTTTACGACAAGCATGGGTTGCTGAAGACCTATTCTACCCCGGATCTTCCCGGGTCCCCTACCTTGGGGCAATTGCCGATAAATAACTAAAATAGATACTGAGACACTGTTGAGTTTTTAAGACTGAACTGTTACCAAATATGTGAGATAGCGACACGATAAATTGCAAAGAACAATGTAGAACGAAGCTGGTTTATTTCACGATAAAACATTGTTCCGTCATTTCTGGAGATTCGAACGTGCGCTCGCAACTTGATGACGTCGAATGTTTGACGACGTTATTTGTTAGAGTGGAGTGTCTAGTGAGTTGTTCCCCATATATGCAGCAGGACAACGCAGATAAACGCGATGGCCGAACGATCGCATCCCAAATAGTGAGAGATTTGACAATCGGCATTGGGAGAAAAGGTACGGGTAATCGACGTGAGGATTGTGAGAATATGCAGGAAATACCCACCTGTGCATAAAAAAGGACTTGTCCGACTTCTCCTAAGTCGGATTCTATGAGGAAGTCGTCCTTATTTTAATACGGGTAATATTTTTGAAGCTTGTGCAATTTATCAACATCCTTAAAGAGGCTGTACATAATGTTGATATCTCATATAAGAAATAAACGAGTCGTGGTCGTGGTTTATCGTACAATAAAACACTACAGGGAGTAAGTAAAAAAAATGAAAATAATGCACGACAGGTCATTGACCTTGGTACAGGGTTAATTTATATTGAAACTGTATCTTGCAACAATGTTTCTTATGGAAGACACTATTATTTTTTTCAGGAATCTGAAGCATAATTTATTTAGTTTTTTAAGCCTTTTCTTATTTTATAACATCCCGGCCAACATGAAATGGTCTGTCTCTACACTTACAGAGGGCAAACTGCGTCTTAAACAGCTCTCGCATTGCTCTTTCAAGGAAAAATACTAAATTAACATGTTTCAGTTTGTCATCTCTAGGGATTTGTCAATCTATATGCTATATTTCATGAGCAACATCCCACACTTAATTCACTGAAAAATGAACAGCACACATTTATGGAACCCACTTTAATTTTAGGTAAAAAAGACCTGAACTTATTGATCCAAAGTGAATCACCAAATACAAGCCTTGGGAAAACACTTAGATTAATGGCCAATATGTTTCTGTGATAAAAGTTTGACCGGCATTTCAATAAATTAATAGTTTTACTTAATTTTTTAGACGAATTTGAACGTGCCCTTTTGCCAAGTGTTCGAGTCATTGCCAGGTTGTCTGAAAGTCAGATACCATGCATCTAAATCTCTTTACTCAGAATGTAAAGTGAAGTGTATAAGACGCTAACATGGCGCGTCGCCGAACCAACAAAACGGTGGACATGTTAATACTGTTATCGCTCGTCATTGATTAGAAACCTGTCAGAACAATGTAGATACTATGGTGCTGAAGCACTTGGAATAGAGAATAGGTAGTTAAGTGTTTAAGAGCTGGCTCGTCAGGGCTATAGACCTGGATCCAATTTCCAACACTGGAACAATGTGTGAAGCCCGTTCGTGGCGTCCCCTATCATAATGTAGTTTAAATAATGGTCAAACCCACCTCACTCACCCAAACCCACGTGTGACGGGTATTTATTTCATTTCATACCCGTATCGCAGTATCCTGGCATTTTAAAACTAGCGTAAGTCCGGACTCTCCCGCCGGGCAAAAGAAAGTATACACTTGAATATTTGATTTGACATTGAAATTGCAAGCGTTATCAAATCGATACTAGGTTGAAAATTGTCGCCGAAACACTGCAAAGTTAAGGTCCAAAACACAGCAATGGTGCCCGTATCACATACAGTGTACATCTCCATCGAATAGCCATTAGTTGTTTTTTCATGTTTAGCCACCATCAAACATGGGTGTGTTTTATTTTTTTTGCCAGGCATGTTGGTATACACAAATACACACACATACACACGTACATGCACGTCTCTATAAAGTGAGATAGCAATCTTGAACACGACGTTAATCCCAATTTCCGACCGAACCAACTTTTGCAACTGTCACTGTCACTGTAAAATATCGTTCTCAATGATGACATACAAATATCACTCTGACGGTGCCTAGCAACTCTTTTGAATTTGCAAGTAACTGTGTTTTATATATTTCCAGGTGTGCCGCTGGTTTACTCTGTGATATACGGCATCATCCGCCTCGTACACTATAACGAAAGGTAAGCTTAATTCGCTGGGATATAATCATAGGCCACTTAAATAGCGCAAAGCTCCGAACAGGGTATGTTCTGAATACCTGATATTATTACCAACGGCATGTTATTACATGTTATTACCCTCTCAGGTCATTGTAGGTTGGTTGGTTGGTTTGTTGTTTAACGCCGCCCTCAGCAATATTCCAGTTATATGACGGCGGTCTGTAAATAATCGAGTCTGGACCAGACAATCCAGTGATTAATATCATGAGCATCGATCCACGCAATTGGGATACGATGACATGCATCAACCTAGTCAGCGAGCCTGACCACCCGATCCCGTTAGTCGCCTTTTACGATAAACATAGTCGCATTTTACGGCAAGCATGGGTTGCTGAAGACCTGTTCGGTACACAACCTTGCCATCCAATGAAGGTTTTGTATTCACATGACCATCTCATCCTACCGGGTACCCATTTTCTGATGATGAACGCAGATGTATTAAATAAAGTAATTACCTGTCCCCGCCGTGATATTGCTGAAATATTGCTAAAAGCGGCGTAAAATCATAGTCAGTCAGTCAGTCAGAGACACACTAGGAGCTACACGTAATAATGTTTAAAAATCGACGTATGTTAAAATACAAAACCTGTTCAGCAATATTCCAGCAATATCACGGCGGGGGACACCAGAAATGGGCTTCACACATTGTACCCAAGTCGGGAATCGAACGCGGGTCTTCGGCGTGACGAGCGAACGCTTTAACCACTAGGCTACCCGACCGCTCCTGTGAGTTTGAAGAGGTTGTAATTGCACTTACATAGCGACGTGTGTGGCTGCTTGTACTAGTTCGAACGAATGCCGGTTTTATAGTGTTACACCACTGAGAGACCATGCCGCAGTTTACCTGTATACCCCAGAAAATGTATACAGACTCCGAGCCGACCAGTCCTTGTTTTATCACCTTAATGCCAAACGCATTAACGTCTTTTTGGCTGACGCGGTCAGGGATGCATCGACCCTCGGCACTCAGGTGAGGTGAAATGGGGTTTAACGTCGCGTCCAAGATTATTGCACTTGTGTGGCTGCTTGTACAAGCCGGGACTGAAGCCAATAATAGAGCAAGCACACTGAGTTTCAATACAGCAGTTTAACATGAATATCCCACTCAGACACAGTATACCGACTCCGAGCCGACAAATCCATGTTTTAGTCCCTTAATGCCGAGCGTCAGACAGGGTAACGACAAGTACCTTCTTTTAACGTTGGTATGACGCGGTCGGTGGTCGAACCCCGGACTTTCCGCTCTCCAGGTGGACGCTCTACCACTAGACCACGGAGGCGAGACTCAGGGCAGACGCTCTTTCCACTAGAAAAGTGAATGTCCAATGTCGTTAATCCGACAGCGTTCACCTTGAAATCGTCGGATTAACGAATCATGTGTACGAAGATATATCAATCCGTATATATGGACACGTTCCCAGCGGTTATAATCAGGAAGGAGGGGTTTACGGTTTATCGAGGTGTTGACTACGAAGGGTTGACTGTATAGATCCTTTAATTCTCCCCCAAAGTAATTTTACCGAAGTAATTCATTTCTATTTTCGGGGGCACGGGTGGCCCAGTCGTCCAAGGAGTCGCGATTCGCTGTGCAGAGTTGGCACGCCAGAAACCTATGATTGTGGGTTCGAATCCCGGTTCGCCCCGATTATGTTTCTAGGTTTGTCAGCACCATACCCGTGCTCCTGGGTTTCACCGAGGCTTTCCTCCCACATTAAGCTGACACGTCGCGATATAACTAGAATACTGTTAAAAGCGGCGTTAAACCCATCTCACTCACTCACTCATTTCTATTTTCCTCTATGTCCTTATAATTATGTATGAAGGTCGGTTGCGTGAGAGCATGCGTTCGTAACGACGATGGCCTGGGTTCGATTCTCCACACGGGAACAATATATCATGCTCATTTCTGGTGTCCCCCCTCTGCGATATTGCTGAAATATTGTTACAACCACTTGGTCTGATGTAACCAAGTTTGTTTCAAGGGGTTTGTCTTTCGATAACGACAGATGTTTTCCATTCTAAGAAGGAAACTAATAAAAATATTGATTTGTACTGTGTGGTCGGGTAGCCTAGTGGTTAAAGCGTTCGTTCGTCACGCCGAAGAGCCGGGTTCGATTCACCCATATGGGTACAATGTGTGAAGCCCATTTCTGGTGTCCCCCGCCGTGATATTGCTGGAATATTGCTAAAAGCGGCGTAAAACCATACTCACTCACTCACTCACTCTAAATGGTCGATGATGGCGTACAACTCCTACCCACCTACTCCCTAGGATGTCATGCACGTCTTGTCTTTTGTTGACAGCTGTTGGGCCAAGAGTCTGGGCCTGACTGAGTGGATCATATACGCACCCAATCTTCTTTGTCTTGTGGTAAGTTGTTAAAAACACATTGCGAACATTATATTACACAGTCATTTATATAACGCACTTATCCAGGTACTAGTATTTGCTGAATTGCCGTTTATTTGTTTCCCGACCAGTGGATCCGATCATTCTCAACTCCCTGGGGAGTGTACAACCCAAGTTGCCTGCGGGCGCTAGGATATTTTCACATCCACCTAACATATCAGGTACCCATTCCCTGCTGGGTGAACAGAGGCACATTTGAACTACGTCACTTGCCCAGGGTGACACCACAGGTTTTGCCACTTGTGTTTGTATGTATTCGTGTTTCCACCATCTGGAACTGCCTCCGTGGTCCAGTGGTAGGGCATCCGCCCGGAGAGCGGACGGCTGGGGGTACTTGTTTTTACCCTGCCTGGCGCTCGGCTCAGAGTCAGTGTACTGTGTCTGAGTGGGGTATTCGTGTTAAACTGCGGCCTGGTATCTCAGTCGGCTAGCACTATAAAATCGGCATTAGTCCGGACTAGAAAAAGCGGCCACACACACACAAACGCGCATGCACGTCGCAATATAAGTGCAATAATCTTGGACGCGACGTTAAACCCATTTCACCTCACCTCACCTCCTCCATCTGGTCATCTACCATCGGACGCAGGCTCGCTGACTTGGTTGATGCATGTCATCGATCCCAATTGCGTGGCATAAACGCGGTCGGGTAGCCTAGTAGCTAAAGCGTTCGCTCGTCACGCCGAAGACCCGGGTTCGATTCCCGACATGGGTACAATGTGTCAAGCCCATTTCTGGTGTCCCCCGCCGTGATATTGCTGGAATATTGCTAAAAGCGGCGTAAAACAATACTCACTCACTTTGGAATAAATTAAGAGACTTTTCATCTATGCCCGTTCATGACAGGTACTGTTCTTAGCTAATCAATATTGATCCGCACATACTATCCCCGTCTCTGAAACTAATCAAGCCTTTAAAAATGGTTGTGTTACGATTTCTTATAACTAGCAGGAGTTGTCAAGGAATTCTAAGGTTCTCATATTCCGATCCATTCCATACAAAAATAAACTGAAAATACGAAACGAGGACGATGATGGATTAAATCATGTCGATATGTCGTCGACGTCGTGACAAGTTGGCTCCTTTTTCTGTCTCGTGGTAAGCCCTCATCGGGTATCACAGTGCAGTTATGCTGGAAATATGCTAGTTTTCCTCTTCTTGTCAAATAACCTTTTGCTATTATCAACATATCTCCCAACTAGCAATAAATCAAACTAAACCGAACCAATAAGATGATTATTGTTTTAATTATCTTTCCGGTTGTATCGGGTGCGCGTGGGTTGATTTCTTGCATCGATGCAGTCAAAACTTATGGTTATGTGGTGACGTTACATTTGATCCAACAGTGATATAACTTGAGTGAGTGAGTGAGTGAGTATGGTTTTACGCCGCTTTTAGCAATATTCCAGCAATATCACGGCGGGGGACACCAGACATGGGCTTGACACATTGTACCCATGTCGGGAATCGAACCCGGGTCTTCGGCGTGACGAGCGAACGCTTTACCACTAGGCTACCCGACCGCCCCCTGATATAACTTGAATGGGGCGGTGGGGTAGCCTAGTGGTTAAAGCGTTCGCTCGTCATGCAGAGGACCCGGGTTCAATTCCCGACATGGGTACAATGTGTGAAGCCCATTTCTGGTGTCCCCCGCCGTGATATTGATGGAATATTGCTATAAAACCGTAAAACCGGACTCACTCACTATAACTAGAAAACTGTTAAAAGCGGCGTTAAACCCAACTCACTCACTCACCTTTGTACGGCTGTCAATCAAACACAACTCTCCCGACAGTCTTGTTTCCCACTGTCTAAGTTATTTTCAGACGCAGTCATATAGCTGGAATTGTGCGGTGTTACAAGACGCAGTGCAGGTGTGCTGTCAGTTTTGAAATAGAATTCAAAAGTGAAATATTTAAAATATTAGCTGGGCGGTCGGGTAGCCAAGTGGTTTAAGCGTTCGCTCGTCACGCCGAAGACCCGGGTTCGATTCCCGACATGGGTACAATGTGTCAAGCCCATTTCTGGTGTCCCCCGCCGTGATATTGCTGGAATATTGCTAAAAGCGGCATAAAACTATACTCATTCACTCACTCTAAATATTAGCTTAATATTATTTCTTCTGTTTTCAGGTAAATCTTTTCTTTCTATGCAATATATTGCGGATTCTTTTGACACAACTCCAGTCTCACCCAAATGAACCAAGTAATTTCAGGTAAGGGCTACTGTGTGGTCACGATTATGAGCTTTATCGACCCGTGAACATCCGGGGTAGAATACATGTAGGTCTTCAGCAACCAATGCTTGCCATAAAAGGCGACTACGCTTGTCGTGAGAGGCGACCAACGGGATCGGGTGGTCAGGCTCGCTGACTTGGTTAATGCATGTCATCGAATTCCAGTTGCGTGGATCGATGCTCATGATATCAACCACTGGATTGTCTGGTCCAGACTCGATTATTTTGCAGACCGCCGTCATGTAGGGTGGATATTGCCGAGTGCGGCGTTAAAAAACAAACCAAACAAAATGAGGTCAATGCCATATGGTACACCTTTGTCCTGTTTCCAAACCGTACGGGATATATGGTAATAAAGGAGTGGTGCTTAACATTTCTGAGTGCGGGGTTAAACAACAAACAAACAAACAAACAAACACACAATGAACATTATCCTCATCACTATCATCATCATTACTGTATCGTCACTGCCCGGTGGACATATGTACTAGCACAATGGTAAAATATAAGTATTGGCCTCCTCTTCGCTGCCAGCATCCGCATGTTGTTTGTTCGAATCAAAGATTTATGGCAGTTATGATTTTAGATCCCTCAGAACCACACAAGACCTCTTAGGTTTCACGGAAACGAGTTCACATACCGTAACATATTACCTAATTAAACTGAATTGTAAACAGCATTGCAAGAGGACGATCTGAATCTGTTTTGTAGCGTTTTGTTTTCAATATCTTACTAAAACATTTCAATATGATGTCTTAACGACTTTAAAAGATTCGTATGTATTGTATATTATTTGAGATATTACGTGTTTCATTGCAGGAGAGCTCTGAAGGCGACGTTTGTGTTGATTCCACTGTTCGGGGTTCAGTTGTTCGTTACCCTTTATAGAATCCCGACAGGGAACCCAGGTGCTGTGGAGTATGAAAAATTTACTGTTTTCGTTATCAACTCACAGGTAAGCTGTCTATCTACCCAGTGATGTTGAAGACTTATTACATGAGCACGACACTTTTAGCCTGTATTCATTACAATCTACGCCTTATAAGTAACATGATACCAGATACCTTCCGTTCTTTCTTCAATCTGAGACTAGTAGCAGTATATAAGAATATGCGTATCTCTACGGCATTGTCGTTTTTTCGTTTACAATAGAGTATGTTTTGGATTCCATGTAAATGTTGAAGAGAAAGATAGCGAAGCGATAACACTGCACGAAATGCCTTCTTTCCACGCTTAGAAAGAGCTCAGAATAATATCGTTTTGGTAGATGACGTTTCCGAATTTGGATTGCATTATATTGCAGTGTGGTATTTGGATATTTGGATATAATGCTTGGGATAATGTAGTATGAGACAAATTTCGAAAATTGAAATTGCATCATTAATAATTCTATAAGGAAGAGAATTTATGGATGTCAACTTCTTTATTATGAGAAACAGAACGTTTCGGGGTATATGCTTACTCCTTCATCAGGTGAATGATGAAGGAGTAAGCATATACTCCGAAACGTTGTGTTCCTCATAATAAAGAAGTTGACATCCATAAATTCACTTCCTTATGGGTATCACTTCTAAATGACTTACAGTGAGTGAGTGAGTATGGTTTCACGCCGCTTTTAGCAATATTCCAGCAATATCACGTTGGGGGACACCAGAAATGGCTTCACACATTGTACCCATGTCGGGAATCGAACCCGGGTCTTCGGCGTGACGAGCGAACGCTTTTACCACTAGGCTACCCGACCGCCCCAAATGCCTTACAAAGACTTGAATAATTCTAAAGGTTTTACAGGTTTTATCTTATTTGTCTGGTGATTTTGTAATTAATTGCACTGTCGGATCATTCTTCAGGGCTTCTTCGTAGCACTGATATTCTGCTTCTGCAACAGCGAGGTAAGTGGTAGATGCAGCCTTCACCTTCCTGCCCATGACAACTGTGTACACACACCATACTGCATGTGTTTTCCTACACGAGTTTTGTTTTGTTTCTTTCATTATGAAAGCCATCATTACATTTTGAGCCAGCTAAAGTGGGAATGTCGACGTCACATGCATGCGCGTTTTCATCATATCTTATTCATATAAGAGAAGAAATACCTTTAAAGCTATCCGCTGTTTGACATATTAGTTTCGTACTTGCCATTTCTGGAAAAAAAATCTACTCATTTTATAAGATGGTGAAATAAGACATCCGTGAAATTATGAAGACAAATTTAATATACACGTCCCTCTGTAAACCGGTGTACTTTCTGTCCCCTGTGGTGTGGTTTCGAGAGGTTTAAATGTTTTTCATGCATACATGCAAGTTTAGGATTATAGATAAGGCATGGGATGGGGCTTGACTTGAAATGATAAGCCTATCGTTATAATAGATCAACTGTCAGCCAGTTACTAGTTGATGGTTACGGTCTGTTTACGGGTTGTGTTACAAACTATTCCACGTTGTGATTCGTGTTAGATTATCAATTTGGCTTCTGAATCCCTTGAAATGGATATTAGTGGGTGTTTTATGTCCAGGGCCCACTTGCACAAAACGATCTTAGCGCTAAGATGATCGTAACTCCCATACTGTGACATAGGCTTACGATAGTATTAGCGCTAAGATCGCTTTGTGCAAGTGGGCCCAGGTTTAGTTAAGGACAACCTGTTTTATTTATGAGTATGTATTCGTAACATATCAGTCGTGGGCGGTAACATAGATTTGAATCTACTATGAAACAAGGCCTTGACCGTTGGTCATATTTCAGGTATTAAATACATTGCGAGACACGCTGAAGAAAGAAGATTTTCATATATACAACCAAAGTATGTGTACAACAAACATGACGCATGAGTCCTTGAGACGTGTTGTGGTGTAGTGTCTACTGGGCTGTGAGCTCTAATGGCATGATGGAAGCATGATATGTCATTATGTCGTTATGTCATTATTAGCATGTAGTGAGTGACTGGTTGTAACCCCGCTCTGAACAGTATTCCAGTTATGTCGCGAGGTGTCACCTTCATACGGATGGAAAGCCCAGGGTGATGCAGGTCTCAGACGTTTACCATTTTGGGAAAACCCGACCACGGTATGGTGCTGACAAACCTAGAAACATAATCGGAGCGAACCGGTATTCAAACCCACAATCATAGGTTTCTGGCGTGACAAGGGATGCAACTTTGCATAGCGAATTGCGGCGCCTTAGACAACTGCGCCACCCGTGCCCCCTGTAGTGATGAAGGAATGGATAATGTATGGATCCTTGTACGTCAGCCAACAAGATAACACAAAAATACATACAATTTGTGCAATTGTGCCCTAACATCATTACAAAAACTAATTATTGCATGCAGATATCTTTCCATGCATTAAGTGTCCATCATATGATTCCCACACACGACGCATACGTTATTCACGTGAACCCAGCATTCTAACAATGTATATTGTCTTCTGGTGAGTGTGATGAACACGAGACAGAATAGGTACTATGCTGCATAGTATTAGTAATGTACTTTCACCAACACTAACAAAACCCTGGCAACAACTTTCAGAGTCCTAAACTTACACTTTTGAGGACGTAGATGACATTCATACTTGATCATAGGACTCTTTATGCTTCATGATCATGCGATGCGCAATTGTTTTAGCAATTGTTACAGAATGAATGACTAATATGTTTCATATATTGAATTATATACAAATCTGTGACGTGATAAGGTTACACCCTTAATTTTAAGGATTTGTAACTACTCCCCAAGTTATCGCTTGAAACATGCAGGTATAATGACGTCGTCCATTGTGTCATGACGTTTTCCTGTTTAATGACGTCATCAAATTGTGTGATGACGTCACGCGTTGGTTGATGACGTCATTGTTTCTCAAGACATGATGCCGATGCTTTTAAATAGACCACGGGCCCGTTCCACAAAGCCATATTAGCGCTATGATTGTCGTAAACTTATGTTAAAGGGAGTAACGATCATCTTAGCGCTAAGATCGTTTTGTGGAACGGGGAACATATCAGATATGTCCATATCGTGACTCACGCATCAAGAACAAAGGGAATAAACATCACCCTTAACTACCTCACTACCCTTTTCACTACCATGCACGGAAGCAGTAACCGGCAACTGGTTTGGCATCTTGACATGCGCAGCGTTATTTGCTATCATTTCGGTTTAGTTGCATAGCACAGCAAAGCACAGCACAGCACAGCACAGCACAGTATGGTCTTTGTCCATAATGGAGAACGCCTATGGGGTGCCCGCGTAGTAGAGAGTAGAATACTAGCTATAACGGTGGTTGTGTAGTCATTGTTTAGGCTTTGTAGTATTGTCCTCAATACAGCACGTCACAATCTAGAGTAGCAACATCTTCAATGTTTTATATCTGCAGTCGATAATTTTACGAAAGAAAAGTCACCTGTTTCTAATTTGGTCACAATAGCATACAAATATGATAAACTATCGTTTCCTCGAACATGCAATTTACATTTCTGATACATATTGTTTGACCAATATAGAATGAGGATTAACCCTCATTATAATAATAATTGCATGATTGTCGACACAGTTGAAGGAAACATTTGCTGACTATTTACAAGAAATTTAAAGATTATTTTTTCATATATATTCTACTATTATTTTGACTTATTCAACAAAAATATTCTTGCATAACTGTTATTATTTGAGGTAATGATTCTACAAAGACTGATACGTTTACTCTTCAAAAATTTAATTCAAAATTTGCTTACTTCAGGTACTGTCCCACTTAAGAAAGAGCTTCACAAGACTGAAGATTATCAGATCTCGACTGGACCTGCCCCGGGGCACTACCATGGCGACTAGCCTCAACTACATCCACCCCCACTGTAAGGACGAGTCCCACGAGACTGAGAACGGGACGTACGTGTTTAACGAGAGCCCTCGGTCTAGCCCGTCCCCCAAGAGAGACAAGATCCCAATGGAAACGTACGACAGAAACTACGTGTACACGTCAGTATCTCCGCAGTTGGGACCAAAATACATGAAGAATTCCAAAGTGTAGATTGTCGCCACATTGCACGGCCATAGAAAATACTGTATTGGTATGCTGTGCTTCGGCGTAATTCTGCACATGGAGCCTTCTCGTTTGCTTGTGGACAATGTGGGGAAAATCATTTGAGATTCAAAAGCTTCCTTCATCATTGGTTAAGGACAACAATAATTTCTCTAAAACCTGACCAGGACCATTCATATTGGGCTCATTAACGGTGGTGGTGTCCGACCTTGCGACAATGTAGCAGCTGTCTATCAGTGAGTTAAAGAATGAGTTTGGCTTAACGCCGGTTTCTGTTTTCAGTTATATGATGGTGTATCAGATACACGCTGAAGGCGCAGGCCATATTACCACTTCGAGGAAACCAACGAGAATGTGAATAGTACTCGCAAAATCAAGGATTATAACCGTCGGATCCTGGCACGGCGAAGGGAAGCAACTCCACAGAGGGTTACGGGTCCTGAAATAACTGGGCCACTAGTACCAGAGGCAGTGTGTGAACAAATCTTTCGTCGTCATACTAAGTGCATCACCATGGCAACGCGTTTGGTGTGTAATAGACTGAGAAAGTATGATTATTTTGTCCAAGTTTCACACCATCCTTTGTTAGGATAATCAAAAAGCCCTTTTAGTATTTTTGGTTTTTTTAATAGGCCAAGCCTTGAAAGGGGGGGGGGGGGGTGATATCTGCAAGGAATAAGCCACTTGGTTTTGGCGTCACAGATCAACCTTCGAAGCCTGAGACTCTTCATGACTGGCATGAGAACACTCTGTGATGCGATCCGAATTACAGTGATGAGAATTACAAGGTACACGATTGTTACAACAATGGACATCAGTTACACCAAGGAGGGAAATCCGAACAATAACAAATTGTGAAAGTGTGGATGATTATTGAAAATGTGGAACATCGATATCGATGAAAGCCGTGTATGACGTTGGGGTAAGCTATGCACATAATGGTCACACGTACCATCGGCTGTTACAAGACGTTCACAAATGGCGATACCGTTATCAACGAGGGACAGGTACAGCGAATATCAAAATACACAAAATATATTGACAATTCACAGAAAAAGCAAAAGGAAACATGAATTGGAATTCTAATGCGTCTAAATATAAATTACATGTTCAATACTGAACGAAGGATGGAATGACACCATAGTGAACAAAATGGCGTAGGCTCAGAAAACAAATTGAGAAGCAGGTTGTAAGTGCAGCTTCCGATACGTTGGGCAGGATATTGTGTGTATTCAACACATGTGGCCATACCAGATAGAAGACTATTAGCTACCAGCGTCTTGAAGGTAGGTTGGAAGTGGTTCTGGACAGAACGTTGAACACTGTCAACCGCATCGTATATCATCATGGACAGTTGCCTACAAATGGACAAGAAAATTCATTCCTGTAGGATATAGTGCGTTGTTAGTTGCAGGTCAGAGATTGTTGTCACTGCTGAAACAGATCCTAGCACATTCTGCCATGCTGACCTGATACGGTGTTTAAAGGTATGATCAATAAACAAATTCTGAACATTATCTGCGGAAAACAGTTCATGTCAATCTTTGTGGACAGTGAAATTGTGATTTTGCAAGACCTGCAAGACCTGCAAATGAAATACGTGTTATGAAACACATTGGAGCAGGGAGAACGCCGGCTTCTATGTCAGGTGTCTACTGAAATGTTGGTTTATGTCATCGAAATACAAACAGTGCAACAAACTGACAGCGAAACTGACAACAAGGAAACAAGATGGTGGCGTCATGGTTTATGGAGCCTCAACATGAAGATGTAGCTCTGTAGTTAAGTGTGGGTATCTGATAAATATTGCACTTCATTGTACCTCATGAAGACTGTATATGTCTCAACGCTTAACCGAGGGAGAGTTATAAAAAGGGAAGGCTGGTTCTGTCGACCAACCACAGAAAATTGTGCGTTTTATTGTGGCGTTTGCATGACAGTAAAAGTCACTGTCCCACTGAGCATATATTCAAAGATTTATCCATAATGTAATTAATTTAAAAGACGGAGAGCCTGATATGAGTGGAATATTGTCTGATGATTTGGTCTACATGTACAACTTTATATTGATATTGAAGGTTATTACTAATTATAATGTTTGATAGACCTTTGTTCAGATATCAGACCGTCTGAAGACAGGAAGCGGCAATGTGTTTTTATAATCAAAGAATAAAAGCACAGTGAGTGGGTTGAATTGTATATATCACTGCATGTTGGTTAAATGTTGGATGAGAATACAAAGTGACGCAGGTCCCATTTACCACTTTGGTAACATCCACGAAGGAGGTGTGGTGTTGTCACACAAGGATTGTAATCGGTGTGACTCTGGGATTTGAACCCAGAACAAGCAGATCTGGCAGCTGTGGAACACGACTGTGGCACTCGCGTGTTATTTAACATAACCAAGGTATGCAAAGGTCCATTTCCCCTCATTCGTATCCGACAGTGTATCTGTGTACGTTGGGGTCATTTAAAACGTTACACAATATGACGAAAGATACCTATGAAGGGTAAAGGTGACACCATATATATATATAATTATATATAATTTTATATATATGTGGTATGTCGGGTATGGTTGACCTATTAATTGTTTAAGGCCACTCGTCGTACAGAGTTACCGCCCTTATCAGAGCCAGGTTCCGATTGTCGTCGGTTTGATTCTCAGATTTACTCCGGTTTTGATCTATAATCAGCATCAAAGCCCTTCCAGCGTGTGTTACCAAAGTGATAACAGTGTACGAACAAAGTCATGTAGGCTTCATCCCGCAGCAAACTTACACCTTGTGATATAACTGAAATATTGTTCAAATAGTTAAACCAAACTCACTCACTCATTTAAATGTAACTAAACAATGTCAGACTAGATTCCATAAGAACATTAGGCCATGAACAATACACCGGACAGTAGAACGTAGATATGTCCCTATATTTGCAGTATGGGCAGTTGCGTGACATTATGGTCCATGTATATATTGGGGCGGTCGGGTAGCCTAGTGGTTAAAGCGTTCGCTCGTCACGCTGAAGACCCGGTTTCAATTCCCGACATGGGTACAATGTGTGAAGCCAATTTCTGGTGTCCCCCGCCGTGATATTGCTGGAATATTGCTAAAAGCGGCGTAAAATCAAACTCACTCACTCACCCATGTATGTATTTATAAGTTCCATACTTGAAAATCAGCTGTATCTTATATCTGGTGTTTATCATGTAAACATATCCATTCTCGTCAGTAAACAGTGTCAGCGTTTGGGACAATGACAGCATAGACATTGTGTATAAACAGCATGGATCATGCATCATGACACATGTGATATGATCGGTCATTGGTTTTTTTCACTTAAAAGAGGAACACGTTTTTCGTTCCACTATTTTCCGGAACAAATGATATTTTCAAAAACAACAATCACAGCCGGTAAGGTGTGGCCGCTAATTATACAATTTCCATGTCACGAATTTCTCTGTGGATTGTGTTGTTAGATTTGCATTTGGCTGTTTATCATTGATCCAGTTTTTGTTGTGGAAAGACTAGGCTCGGGGAGTATGTGTTCTGTCACAATTTGGACAAATGGTTCAGTGAAACCCGTTATACACAGTTCGAGGACTCGTCCGGATAAATATGTCTAGGTATATCCTCCGCCTGTTAGAATAATGGATCAGGGTATATTATTTTTTTATATCACTTTAGCTACATACATATATTCCCAACAGTAATTATTCAGAAAGCAGAGTTTCCTGTCTAACGACGTTCGGGCTACCAGAACGACATGTATTTTGTTATGAAAGAGAGCTTTTTCTGACAACATTAGTAAGGGAAAGGGATTCATACGAATCCCTATGACTGACCACGTTCAGCGAGTATTTACCTGTACCACAAGTAGTCATGAAGGCTTCAGGAACCTGGTAGTGGACTAGATAACGTGGGGAATACGATCTCAATACATGAAACGAGAACACAGCTGAAGACTCTCATCCAGTGGGGGGCGGTCGGGTAGCCTAGTGGTTAAAGCGTTCGCTCGTCACGCCGAAGACCCGGGTTCGATTCCCGACATGGGTACAATGTGTGAAGCCCATTTCTGGTGTCCCCCGCCGTGATATTGCTGGAATATTGCTAAAAGCGGCGTAAAACCATACTCACTCACTCACTCACTCATCCAGTGGGTGTGCGTGTAGTACAATACAATTATGTCCCGTTCATGCACTCCAACCAATACACTTCGTACAACAGTACAGCTCGACCTGCGTGATCTGTCAAGGCATCTGGGGCGAGGGTTTGAGTCGAAACTGGAAAGTGACGTTTGCGCGAACAGTTCCCTGTTTATGGTTATGGTTTTACTAGGGCACGGAACTTTGTAAGACAGATGGTAGACTCCTGGCAGTCTTTATGTCAATAAAAAGAAACACTTGCTTCGTCTCGGCCTTTGTACAAGAAACTATTCATGTGTATCACGTACGATTTGGTCAGACCCCATATTGTAACGATTATGGATAACAAAAATATTTTGTTTCAATGCGAGTATCCATATTCATCTTCACCTGTTATTTTTATTTCTTCTCCTTAACAAAAAATTGTTTTAAAACAAATACATGTACATGGTGTTGAAGGTTAATGATAAATTGTGCCACTTGTTTTGTACTGTTTTCCGATAAGACATCAGTCCTTTTACAGACGCCTCACCAACCTTCATGTCATCAAGGCATCTCAGGTCTGTCCAGAGCCCCAGCCATAATGTGATCTTAGCGCTACGTAAGTCAATGTTAAAGTATGTGAGTTACGATCATCTTAGTGCTAAGATCGCTTTACGGAACGGGGCCCAGGGAAGGTAGACGGGTTTGTGGCTGCTTTGAACGGCGTTTCAGTTACATAACGGCGTTCCAGTTTGACGTTGGAACGAAACCGAAGGAGACATACGTCATAGAATAAAGACATAGACACAAGTTTATGACTTTGGTGAAATCAGGAGTACGCAAACATGACACTTGGTGAGAACCAGGGATCTGAAATCGCCATGTGTCCCGTTTGTGCCTGAGGAAAACCGATCTGAATATATGATATCGTTCAAAGTGTTTCATTGTAGCCAAATACATATTGTGATTGTAAAATAATTGGGAACTATTTGACGTTATAGCGTCACTTGTACGTATATCACAAATATGAGTTATTTGTATTTCATAACGACTTGAGAAGTCAAAAGGCTACAATGATAATTTTATTTAGAAGTTCTTACATTTTTTAGTCATTTTAGAACATGAATAAGGTCTAGTTTGGCGTTTTGTCCATGTTCATGCGTTTATTGACGTTGATTCCATGTCCATGTAGTCGGTTGTAACTGTTACAGCTATGAACCAGTTTAAATGTGGTTGATGTAAATAAAATATGTTAATCAACAACACTATATGCCCCTCTTCTGTTGTCAATGTGTGGAGTCCCCATGCACGACTCCCAGGCATGCCTGGTCAAGTTCGAATCCATTTTTCTGTTTCACGCCGCACACAGCCAGTCAAGCTTTGACCGCGGCTTGTGGAGGACATTTGACCGCGGCTTGTGGAGGACATTTGACCGCGGCTTGTGGAGGACATTTCCAAATTTGACGCATTAGTTACAAAAGCGATGTCCGATGCAATTCCCTATGTTGACTTGTACTATATGCTCTGTA